TGTTAATGTAGGTCAAAAAACTCTGGGTGGCTGATGAAAGGAGATAAAAGTTTACTGTGAGGCAAATGTGCATGAAGGGAAAGATGGTGATTTCAAGAATTCCTTACACTTAGGACTTAACAACTCTTGCCAATGCTGTGTAAGTGCAATTAAAAATCAAATGGATTGGTAGAGTGAGCCAGGAAAGATCTGCTCTCTTGGGAAGTTCTTAGGTTGAGGAGCTAAAAGGTGATTTCCTGATAATCCCAAATTAACATGTTGGCTTGATGCATGACTCTGGAGGTAGAAAAGACCCTGCCCAAGAGCCAACACACACACGGCTCCCTGCTTGGGTCATATTGCAAGCCAGGGACTCCCAAAATTCTCATTTCTCCCTTGTGCCAGAGCCTGTGCTAGAAGAGGAGTGACGGATTTTCCAAATATCTTCCCATCTCCATGAGCAATCTCCTGATTCACTGGGATCAGGGCTGCTGTGTAACTACTCTGCAAACCTGACCTGAGCAGGCAAACCTCAGGTGACATCGGGGACCCAGGGCTGGACTGACACGGCGAGAAACCAGCACTGAAGGTTTATGAAACCCTTCAGCATTTCCCAGGGAAAGGGTAAGCAGGTTTACTTTACATTTTCACTAAACTTTGCTGAATCTTTTCAATTCCCGCTTGAAAAACCAGGAAAGACCCACTTGAGGAACTCCTGGGGTCATACAAAGCCTTCCCCCCATCCTGAGCAGGTTGTTTTGGGCTCTGTTCCAGCATGGCATCACTGGCTCCATAGGCAAATGGTCCATGTGGTTTTACCCTGACTATCATGGGCTGATCAGCGGCTTTGTTATTTTAGATTACATGCTTGGCAAAGCCTGAAAATAATTGGAGACTATCTGGAAAAATAAAAATAGAAATTTGAAATGTGGCAGCACTAGCTTCCAAAGTGCAGCACTGAGACAGGAACCCATGAGCCAAATGCTCCCACTGAAAGAGAAGATAAATTAGCTCAGGATGAAGCACTACTTTGCATGTACACATAGGCACAGAGTGATCTGGCACCAGGAAAAAGAAGAGTACTGAGATGCAGTGAAACAGCTCAGCTCAAAAGTTCACTGGTTTCTCCCAGCTCTACCTGTTGGCCTCCCAAAGCAATCCCCTCTCCCCACAGTGCCTGCACCCCTTGGGACATCCCTCTCCAGCCCTCACAGCTCCAGGACTTCCCACAATGGATCCTCCTTTCCATTAATTGTCTGTGTAAGGGCCTCACTCATAAATTGGCTGGGCAATCTCACCATCCTTTCTCCTCACTTGGCTCCAGCCAGACCCTCTCCAGTTTCCATCAGCTCCTGCATGGTCTCAGCCTGTCCTCAACATCTCCAGCCATCGGGAATATTTTATTATATTCTAATCCATCAAATAACCATCATGATGCTGAGCACAGTGCAAAGCCTCAGCAGCCTGAGCACTGACAGGGTTAAATTAAAGGTACCCATGATATTAGAGAGCTGCAAAGTAATTATGAAAGGAAGCAGAAAAAAAGCCAGCAACTCTAAGCAGACATGAAGGCCCTCTTAAGAGAAGAAAGGCATGTTAATTAACCTCCAGACATGATTCAAAGCATCATTTGTAGCATGATTAACATAATCCCCCAAGTGCACACACACACAAACGGCATTAACGATCATTTGCAGGACTGAACGGCTCCCCCATCCCTTCAACAAATCGGCACATTTGAGCAGGGAAACCGCTGGAAACGTGCACGTTTCAGGAAACAAAAAGAACAACGTTCCCCAGGGACGGACACCCCGGCTGTGGGCTGTGCCCACCCCGTGTGCTGCAGGTGGGCATCCTCCCCAGGTGTGCTCTCAGCATCCTCCCCAGGTGCTCTCAGCATCCCCCCAGAAGTGCCACCAGCTTCATTCTAGAAGAACTCTTGACCCTGTGTCACCTTTTGCTCCCTTTGCCAGCCACAGTTCACACCCTCCTCACCAGCCTCTGCCACCTCAGCAAATGCTGGGGGCAGTTTTCAGAAGCTCCCGGATTCCTGTCAATGTTTGGCTCGTGGCTTTCCTTTAAAAAAGGAGCTGCCCACCAGATTGATTGAAAGATTGGAAATGAATGCCACAGTTCTGAAAGCAAAGAGAAAAAAAGAGCCACAATTTCCCCATCTTTCCAAAAAGGAGAATCTCCTGCTCGAACTCGTGGACAGGGTTCCCAGCACTCGGCTCCCCCCGTCCTGAGCACCGAGGCGTGTGGGCTTGGAGGCTGCTCATGCAAGAAAGCCAAAGCTGTCACCTGCCTCAGCAAAGCTGTCAGGGATATTTTATCATATTCCACCCCATCAAATAACCATCACAACAGGTATTCCCGCAGTCATCGTGGCAGAAAGCTGGTAGGGGAGCACTTTCCTCTGAAAGCCACTGCATGGTTTGTTGTTCATTAATTATCTGGGCGGTATTAATAAAAGTGACATGGACATGTCACCAAAATCCCCTGTAAACTCCACTCAATTCATATGATATTCATCCTTTCACAGCCCAAGCTCAGAGGCTTTGCACTACTTTGTATTCTGGATGTCAGTGTTTTCAGAGGCTGAAGCTTGTTCAAATGAGTCACTGCTGAGCTTCATTATCTTTAAAGTTTGTTATTACTTGGGAGTGTTTATCTGCATCACATTTGCAAAAACATCTGAACAAAGGCCAGCCCATGGAAACGAGAGCATTTTTGCACCTTTTTATATAAATAGGAAGGAGTTTATACAGCTGGTTCTTTTCTTTGCAATTCACAATATTTGTCTTTAATGCCAATTTTAAGGACCGTGATGGGATTTAAGCAATCACAGGCAGACCCGGTGTCCTGGGAGAGATAACAGCGCAGCTCCACGGCAGGCTGAGCACCCCAGCTGCTGACACCCTTTGTGCCGGGCACAGCCACGACCTCTCGGGGATGCTGCCCTGTATTGTGATCTGGAGGAAGTCCAAGCTTGTGTGTTCTGAGCAGCAGCAGTGAAATCGCACTCACGACCTCGGGGTAAGAAGCTAAGAATGAAGGGAGAGGAGGAAGAAAGGGCAGGGGCAAGCAGGGGGCGGGATACTGGGACCAGGCTTTGTGTGGTCCCAGTGTGACAGGCAGCTCTTTGTCACCCTGGGACACCACGACAACCCCAGGCCCCACGGGACAAGCAGGGAGGCCTTGGCCTCCTTCCTCCCAAAACCTGGTAAGAGCATCACCCAGGGGGGCTGGTCAGGGGCAACCACAGTGCCCCCCGTCCAGGCTCGATTTCTGGATCCGCGTGTCCCAGGGGCAGTGGTTTCAGCCACCTCCCTCCTCCCTCCTCCTCAGCAAACTCAGCCAGCAAGTGATGCTCAATACCCCGCTGGCAAGCACCAAAATCCCTCCAGCTTGTCCCCCGACTCCCTCCCTCCCGCAGGAACCTGCCCGGGCAGGTCAGAGGGACGGGAGGCCCCGGCAGGGCGGGGTGGCCGGGTCAGACCTGTGGCACGGCCGGGACGTGCCCACGGCCTCACTCGGGCTGCACTGACCCCCACACCAACATGAGGCTGCCATGCAGCACCCCAAGCACAGCCAGGCATCCCAAAGTGGGATGTGACCCCACAGCGACCATGGGATACCCAGGGGGTGCTGAGGGGATGCTCAGAGGAAGGACATGGGGGGATGCAGGGGATGAAAGGGATGCTGGAGAGCAGCACAGGAAGATGCAGATGATGCTCGAAGGCAGCGTGGGGGATGCAGGGGATGCCCGGGATGCTCAGGGCAGGACAGAGATGCTGGAACACGTCTGGGGGACAGGACAGGGGATGCTGGAGTGATGACAGGGGGTCCTCAGGGACGTGAGGAAGACCAGGAGATACTGAAGAGTCTGGAGCAGGTCTGGGGGGATGCCAGGAGGTGATGGGGTGACGCTGGGGAGCCCAAAGCAGGCAAGGGAGGATGCAGAGGAGGTGATGGGGGATGCAGGGGAACCCGAACCAGGCAGGGGGGATTCTGGGGATGCCGGGGAGCTCGAAGCAGACAGGGGGGATACCGGGGAGGTGATGGGTGATGCCAGAGAGCCGAGGGAAGGGCAGGCG